CCCTTTCCAGCGTTTGTGGTCCGGGGCGCTCGCCTTTAATTCAATAGTTTCAGCAACCTGAGTTCGATCCCCGGTGCCGGAAATCAATGAAGTTTTTAAACTTTAAGTGTTGTGTCTTATCACAGTGCTCCGTGGGAAATTTGAAGGCCTAAATCATCGTTCAGGAAACCTGCATAGTTTCGTAATAATCCCGATACGGAACTTAAAAAAATATATTTTCAAAGAAGTTTACCCTTATAAAACCCGTAGGATTGAAGTCCGCCAGCTTTATAATAACTGTGGTAGGAAATCCGAATCCGGACACGAATGGTCCGTCCGGGTAAGTACCACGACGAAGTACCTCACAGAAGACCGGCGTGAAGTAGAAGTGTTATGCGTTCCGTCTGATGAGTGAGATAGCTGGGGCCCACTTTATTAAAAGGTGCCAACGCATCTGCAACCGTACGAGTGTTGCAAATGTCAATGGGCGGTGGTTATCACTTCACAGTAGGTGGAACTGCCAGCTAGTTTGCCACCTTTTGACATGAAAACAAAACCTTTATAAGGATTGGACCCAGTCACCTCACTCAGATGAAATTCGAATCCACAGATACTTCTTTTTACACTGGCCTTCTGTAAGGTTAAAATTCCCAAACTAGCAATTCAAGCAACGATCGCAACTACTGCATCATTTCATCACCGGTAAAAGATACAGTTATAAGACTACTCAACAAATGATCAAATTAAATGTTAGTGGAAACATAGTTGAGGTCTCTGTGTATGGCCGTTAGTTATGTAAATTCTAATATTGAATGTCCTATCAGTCCATTCTCTAAATATATAATCTAAAGAGTATTGAAATCAATTTTGAGTAAAATGAGAATAGATAAGGTATACAAAACTCATTTCATCAGTCAACAATTTTATTAAAAACCAATAAATTTAGCTTTCAAACTTGTTAGAGGAATGACGTAAATATCCATTGCGTTTTTATCTTTTATTAGCACATTTTATTTTACCAAAGAAACTGTAAAGGGGATATAAAAATGTGTATAATTAATATTATTCATTTTCGAGTGCATTATCATTAAAATTTTTATTCAAAGATAAATAAGAAACATAATTACATTATTTCATTGTTAGACACAATATTTGCATGAGATTAAATAAACATTCATAGCTTTTTAAGAAGTAATCACAGGCCAGTTATGCGTTTCGGTCTACTACCTATGGCATAAGCTACATTGCCTTTTATTTGTCACCACAAATATCTTATTCCAATATTTTGATGTCATCATAATTATATATTGTAATTTTTTTATAAATTTTTGTAGATAAATGAACAAAAACTGGATTTGACCCTGCATCATCTGATTTAGCGCCCAGACGCTTTACCAACTAAGCTAAGGTTTAGCAATGCTTGGCGCCAAGTAATGTGCAACCTTTACAACAAATAACACCTCACAAATATCATTCAAAGATTGACGAAAAATTGTAATAAGAGATGTCGACATTGCTCTTAAATTTTCTTGAAGATTAATTTTATATTTTTAGTGGTAGTCTCTGAACTCAAGATGAAACACCATTGGCATCATTTAGTTTTATGGTATTTATAATGAATCAATATAATTTATTTTAGGTGGAATAACATTATTCTCGCCTATGATAAATAATGCGGTACATGTCATAATGTACAGCTACTATCTGCTGTCATCGGAAGGAAGCCCTAGAGTCAAAATGTTGCTAATTAACTATAAGAAGTGGTTGACTGTAATGCAAATGGTATGTATATATTCATAAGAATATGATAGTTAAAATTCTAAGTCAATTTAAAAATAATATTTAATATCGATAAATTTCAACTTTGAATTTGATTATTTAAATAAAAAAAACAATAATAGTCTTCAATCTGTGGATACCCAAGATGAATGTTATCAACATCAGTGTAAGGGGCTGCAGCAAAGAGTACCTAGAACTAAATCGGATAGATGTAACATAGGCAAAAGGGAACCCTAAACGCTTATATCTCTGCTTTTCTGTGTAAAGATATTATGTTGTATATGTATGTTAGGTTACACACATTTATTATATGATTTATTAACCATTTTATTTCAGCTCCAGTTCACATTAATGCTTGTATACAGCGCTCAAGTATTTCGGCCAAGTTGTCCGCCACCATCTTTCATTTAATTTCCAAATGTGATATTTGTATACTACATGTTCTACAATTTTTTCAAACACAACTATAGCAACGAAAAACAAAATGGTTACAGTTATGACAAAAAACAAAGCACATATAAAGCAAAGGAGTGAATATACCATTCATTATGAGTTTTATCTAAGCTACAGAGCAAATACTCAGTTCAGAATACTTAAGTTCAGATTAACTGGTACATGCTTTGTTTTTCATTTTGTTAAATATGTGAATGTCTCTTGTATCCTTTATTATAATTGCATTTAATATAAAATTTTACTCATTAAATAATATACCGAGTAATTTAATCATATCTTTAGTAAATCATCTTACTAAAATCTTAAAACTTTTTAAAAAAATTTTTTGTTTAAGATAATTATTGTCCTAAAGAACTTTTTGTTAAAAAAGTTCCTCAGCTGTTTTATATGAACAAATATATCAGGGCAGACAAACTTTTATCACTGTTATCAACATAGCATATTGGATTTTGTTACAAGTTTTACAGTTTATTGCACAAAGAATACTTTGTAACAAATAGTGACATAAACTAAATACTCTATATAATAAAATATAAAGTAATTTATGTTGTGTCAATAATGCGGTACATTTGGACTGCAAAAGTTATTTTTCGACAACTGTAGCATTAGCGAGGAACGTCACTTACCGTGTAATAAGACAACAGGCCAGCGTTTTCGTCCAAAACAAACCACCGATATTGCCATCCTTTCATCACATTGGTCCATTTACTTAACGAGCCTTCCATCATGATTGTATAACTTAAAAACAATTAGCAAAAAACATTAAAAACAACGACCGCGGTTATTAATCACTGCGGCAGCAACAAAGTACATAGTAATCCATATGTTTGACATCTGCAGATTGCGTTGCCTGATAATAAATCATATGCCTAGTGTTGCAATACTAAAAATTAATTTGTGTAACTTGGTAGACATTTTGTTGTAACTGTTTAGGTATTTTAGTGACTTCACGATGATAGCCCGATCGTATGCAAACTCGCTATTAAAGAACAGTAAAATCACGCCGTATGTGATTCAAAAGCGGCGACGCGCCTAAGCTCACAATTAGAGAATAGAATTATAAGAAAAGAAATTATTGTACAAAAAAATAATAATAATACTATAAATAAACTGTAAATGGTAATATAATTAACGATGTTTAAAAACACTTGCGCGTTCTTATGAAAATGAAACGTCAACATTTTACACACAAACTAACGTTCGTAAATAAGCTACCACCGGTTCGGAAAGGAGTTTCTGTTGAGAAGAAACCGGCAAGAAACTCAACCGTTGCTCTTTTTTAAAAACGATTAGTTTACAATATAATAGGATAGGTATAAATCTTACTTTAGCCTACGTGAGTTTCAACAGTATTAACCCCACACATTGGCGTCGTCAAGATATTCCGCAATGATATAATACGCCTTAGCCATAAGTTCACTTTTAATTTTGAGTTTAAATTAATCAGGTGGCAGACTTAATATCGACTGTGGGATTTTATAATACACTTTGCCCCATGAACGATCTATTAACTTTTTGTAGACGAAACAATGGCGTAATTAATTTGTCCTTATTACTAGTATTTAATTTATGTCTATCACTATTCTTTAGGTAACAATTAAGATTATTTCTAACGTACAAAATATTACAATATGTATGACGCAACAGTAAGTATATTAATCTCTTTAAAAAGATCTCCGAGTATTCCGGGCTCCGATGTTGTAAATTGCTCGGACAGCTCTTTTTTTTGAAGATTAAATATAGAATTTATGTCAGATGCACAACCCCACAACAAAATGCCGTATGATAAGATTGATTTCTTTTCGAAGTGTCTATCTATCTTTTAGAACGATCACAGAGCACCGGAGTGGTCACGGCAACGTAAACTAACAAAAAATAATGTAGTATGTAAGTTTCCTAAGTGAATAAATCTATTTTTGATTTTGATTTTGATTTTTGATTTTGAAAGTGGTAGGAGATGGACAGTTCGAATAATGAGGATTGTGGGATAGATACCGACATGTTTTGACTTGAATACTTATTCAATATCTATTTATTCTTTTAAAATGTCTTATTTACGATTCATAAGATTACTGATTTTGAGGTCGCAATAAGATTCAGCGTTCAGCGTTGTACGACCAATGAATTGAATTTGAATTGAATTAATTGAAGCTAAACTAAAACGCGTTTGGCGGGAATTTGGATACGCTTCTTTGTTATTTCAATTTAACAACTTCTATTTATACAAAAATTTAATGTTACATACTTATCTTCTAACGCTCTTGCTAAAAGATGTAAATCTATGCGCCACTGAAGTAATTTAACATTCTAATGTAAATACAGTATGATTGTTAAAATATAAATGAATAATATAATTATAGGTAAATATTTTTGCAACACCGCTCTTTGAAGTTTTAAAATTGGTCCCATTCCATGATTTCAAAATCACATTCTCTACTGGATGCGTTTGCGATTTGATAAGAAACACCCATTGTTTTTTATTTAATAAAATACTTTACTACTTACGATCAGGTAAATTATTTCTTTTTGAAAATTAAGTATGTTTGAGTATGAAATAAAAGTAAGAAATGAGATAAAAAATATAATTTTTGTGTATTCCGTTTATTTGCATCGAAATCAATCTAGTTCTTCAAAAATAAAAGGCATCTTTTAAAAAAATATTTTATATTATACAACCCGATTATCACTTTCATACAAATGTAACGACTATTTAATAACATCACGTCGTTTTAATTTAGTAACACTAATACTACACTATTTACAAGGGTCGAACGCTTACTTATTTATTATTGTCTTCTTAGTGATCTGCCGAGTTTTGTTTTACTGTATCCGGAGGAAATTGATACTTTGCTGTCTTCTTGATCTAAACTTATACCTGATAAATCTACAAATAATGGCACATTCTCTGAACCCTCCCCTACAGGATCCTGTTCGTCTTTGTCGAAGCTCTCTGGAGTTCCTTCCCCTTCAATGGCTAGCTTTTCGATGTCTTTGCTTAATGAATTGTTCTCGGCAGCCTCGACAAATGCGTTGGATAATTCGCCACTGAGTTTGTTCACGTTACCCGATGATATGTCATACATAAATATTTCACGATCCTCCGCCGGTTCATCGTTTCTGAAATTGTAAAAAAGAATAATAAAATGATACGTTTTAAATTCTAGTTACCTAGTAAACGAACGCAAAACAAACGCAGTAAGCTCACGGCTTCACGTCAATCGACCCAGAATAGTTGCATAAAATATTAATCTTATTTTTGCATAGAATTACAAGGGCTATCAATATGACGTGTAATAAAAATAAGAAAATATAACTATTACTGGTTAAGCTTTTTTTAAGAAATATTTTATATAATATATCAAAATATTTTTTTTTACAGCTGTATTAATAAGGCAGTATCATCGACGATATATCTTTAGGTATACTGCAATGAGGTTTAAAAATATTGATGCCACATTTCCATACTGCGCGGCGTTTAATAATCGTTCTGCTTCACATTATATGACGAATTTAAGTGAATGCGACAAATGATATAGAACGTATTATATGGAAAGAGATAGAAGTGTGTACAATTTTAATCTAATTACACAAATTGCTGTAATTTGAGTGCCACAATTTCGCTGCGCTAGTGTCATAATCTTTGTATATAATATCATTAGCATACTGCTCAAAATTTAAATTTTTCTAATTTTTATATTTTATTATTACTATGCTTTGATCCCCAGTTACATCCACTGATGAATTTTTCGTCTACCGCTTGACACATAAGGATGTGTGTGGTGACAAAGTCTTAATAATGTAGGTGAAAAATAGAAATAAATGGCCAATTACTGTTTATCTTAGGAGGGTGAAAAGATAAAAGAGCAACTATTTTTAATAAATATAAGTATAAATGGGTTAGTCTACAACGTGATCAAAAATACGGAAATTGTGAAGTTAGCATTGGAAAATGGAATTATTTTTCTAACGTTTACTCACTCTGTCACAAGTAGAATGACAGATTGCTGATCTGTAGAGGTCTTTTTCTCAATTTCCAGCCACTTCTTGAAATTATCCGTTGTCGGCTTCTTAAGTAAATCATGCAAACTGTCCCCAGCGACGAATTTTATTCCTTTTAAGCCGTTACTGGTAGCTCGTTCAGTTCTAGTGTGCTCACTGCTTAATTCTTCCGTCTCCACAGGCGCTAAGACAACAACCGATGCTACTTTTCTGCCTTTGAGAATATCCGGTAGAGGAAATTGATTACCGCTCACTTTTAAAGGTAAATATCTATTGTATTTTTTATCATTTAAAGCGACGGGATCAACCTGAGTTGCATCTTCTTTAACATAATCCTTCGCTATGTTCTGACCTTCGGGGGTCTTGGGGTCGAAATGGACAACTTTCATCTCTACCCCTTCAGATGAAGCCGGCGGGGGTGTTACATAAGTTGCCACATTTTCTGATGCAGCAATGTCTTGATCATCTTCATCAATGCCGTCATCAATTCTGGATTCGATCTGATCACCATTGGGTTTAACTACGATTGGTTTGTGTTCACTTGACGCTAATTGTTGACCACCCCCTGCGCTGAAAAAGTTTGCTAATTGATCCGGGGGCAAAGACTCCAAAGGAGTTTCTCCAACTTTATCATAATCTAAAACACTAATGTCAGCGTTATCTAAAATACCAGAGGAAAGCAGTTGCTGGCGCAGATCGTCCGGTACTTCATCCGGTAGTTCAATTGCTGGTTTCTTCTTTTTCTCTTCTTTTTTTGGTTCCGGAGTTGAAGGTAAAGTGTTTATAGTTGAAGAGTAATACTTTTGTGTAGTTGGCTTTATTTCAACGGTTCTAGACGTGGACTGGTAAAAAGGCGGTGATGTACTTGACGCAAAAGACGGCTGAGCTCGAGATCTTTCTTGTTGGTTATAATTATTTGTGTACTGATTAAACTGACTTTGTTCAAATTGTTTTGTCTGTTGTTGTGTCTGTTGCTGCAATTGATGATTGTAAAGTAATTGAGTCTGAAGGCGTTGGATTTCTTCCTGTTGTTTTCTTACATTTTGTGCTAGTTGTTGTCTGACTTGTTCTTGTTCGGCATCAAAAGATTGTTGCTGCTGTTGCTGCTGCTGCTGCTGTTGTTTTTCTTGATCTTGTTGGTGTTTTTGTTGCTGCTGTTGTTGTTGGTGCTGCTGTTGTTGCTGATGCTGTTGTTGCTGTTGTACCTGCTGTAGATGTTGCTGTTGTTGATGCTGTTGCTGTTGCTGTTGCTGCTGTTGTTGTTGATGGCGCTGTTGCAGCTGTTGTTGTAGTTGTTGTTGGTTATGATATTGTGAATTTGAAGTTGCAGGATTTGGTTGGCTGTTTTCACTTAAGCCATGAAATTGATTTTGATTTTGTCGGCCATCATCTGTAATGTGTTGCTCATATTTTGGAATGGAAGCCACTAGCTCTCCACCTTGAGGTATAAATTGACCAACATTTTGTTGGTGTTCTAGGCTTGTTTGGGCTTGAAAAATATTTGGATGCCCTGAAGGAGGTCTTTCTGTTTGACTTTGAGATTGTTGGAAAGGATTTATCGATGGCTGTTGACGAAAACTGTGCTGATTTGGTGTGGGAGATGGTTGAGGATGAAAACTGAATAGTGGTGGAGATGATGGTTGCGGTAGGAATTGATTTTGAGGAGTAGGTGATGGTGATGGTGAAGGTGAAATGTGACTAGAAAACGAATTATGATTTTGCTGGGGTACAGCTGGTCTTGGTAGTGACTGAGCTCCTTGATGAAAACTAAACTGCTGTTGTGGTTGCTGCTGAGCTGATTGGAATGGAATTCGGCTATTTTCAATATGAGGAGGAGAAGGTTTAAGGTTGAAGAACGGTGGCCTGCTAGGTGTTATAGAAAATGGACTATTTGAAACAGACTCAAAATGTTGAGCAGGTACTTGTTGCGGCAACTGTTGATTATAGGGAATAAGTTGAGGTCTACTGTCTGAGAAGTGACCAGTAGAAGAACTAGGACTAGGCTTAGAGTTAAAAGTTTGAGCTTGTCTGGTTGGTAATAACTGAACTTTTGGTGGTTCAACTTGTTCGGTTGTAATAGTGTGATAATTTTCTTGTAAATATTTGGGCTCATCAAAATATGTCTGAGATTGAGATTGGGCTTGATGGAATGGTCTTTGGGGTCCGGAGTGGAAAGTCGTCCTCGTGGGACCGTTGAAATGAGGCCTAGAAGCGAACGAGGGTGGGTTGCTTGGGCGGGCATGGAAAGCTGGTGCGTTATTCGGCCTGGCGAAAGACGTTGACAAGACGGGTCCAATAGGACCAGGAACGGTTGGTGCAATATTGTTGAAGTGGGAACTTGGGGAAGCACTTGGAAAAGTTGAATGTGAACTTAAACCCGGAGATGGTGCAAATGGGCTATATCTCGTTGAATGTGTCTGGGTTCTAAAAGGAGCAACTGATGGCCCCTGTCTGGGTAGTTGATAATCATTGGCCACAAAGGATTGTTGAAATTGAATCCGGTTTTGAGCATTTTGTGATGCTGATCGGTAATTTTGTGAAGCGTGATCTACAGGGCGTGCGATCGACCGACTAGATGAATCATGGTATTGCTGTTGTGAGGAGGCGGAGTGCTCGTAGGTTTTCGCACTTGGGTGCGCATTTGGTAGAGCAATTGCAGGCCTTGGGGCGGTTTCTTCGTGATCTTCGTGTGGAGAATTCCCTTCTAGACGATCAGTGAAATGACGACCTTCACTACCAAACGTCACTTTAACGCTACTATCACTATGGTATACCTCCGATTCCGGTTTTATAATAGCTCTGAGTGTAGTCGTTTGAGTTGGCAAGTATAATGGTTCAGGGGTTACAGTTACGTATGCATCTTGGTGGTCATCCTCATCATTTGATGGTGGAGTAATGGCAGGTATCGGCTTTTCGTAAATAACTTTGTCGTGCGAGTGTGGGTCTTTGCTGTACTTTACGTAAAATACTTGAACTGGCTCCTTTCTTCTTTTTCTGTATCGGCTGAGGGGGAGGTGCTGGCAGGGATTCGTTGGACTCCTTGATAATAATTTCAATAATAGGTTCGGGGGCGTCGATATAATGAGGCTGTTGCTCGTAACCATACAGGGGGGCAGTGGGCAAAGATCCATAGGGCGGTCCAAATGATCCTTCAGAAGACTGATCGTGAATGTTTAGGATTTTCGGTTGGGCGTGAATTTCGTTCTTGTTCACGACGGCATCATCTAGATTATCGAGGTACGGGTCGTACAGAGGATCCTTTTGAGAGTATTGAACGACCGGCTCCATCTGCACCGCGTACGGCGGAAGTTTCCCGCGGGGCACATTCGAAATTCTCCGGTTGCCTGACGTGGAGCGGAAATGTGCGACCCTCGAATGGGGCAACACCAGGGAGTACTGCAGGTTCTGCGGCGTTCGTATATTCTCGAGTTGTCGCTTCGGCTTTGTTTTCGTCGTCGAATTTTTCGCGTATGTCAAGCTGAGTACAGCCAAGGCCGTAACCTGAAACAAGATACGGTATTACTTTAGAAAGGCTATAGGTAATTTGATCCAGTGATGAAATAAAAGAATGTAAATATAATACGGGGCAATATTTGAATGTTGTATTATTTTGACTTAGTAGGGTGCGGTATAATATAACGTCACTGAACGAAATCAGAGCCAAATTGATATCATTAATTTTTAGCTTCAGCCACTGATCCGGTCGGTGGCTAGAGCGTCAGGCCGCGAATGCTGAAGACGTGGGTTCGATTCCCACAGCGGCGACAATCTTTTCGTACTTTTTAATCATTCATTTTTGCTAAATAAAACTAATTTTGGTAGACTTTACAGCGTCCGTGGTCATGATATGGTACTAATGTATAGAAGTAATGATATGTTAGCAAAACCATTAAAACAAAAGCATACAAATTTTTACGATGGAAGGGCCACGCAGCAGCCTCGGCTGTTGCACGAATGGGCAGGTTCGTCCGGGTAAGTACCATGACCTCACAGAAGACCGGCGTAAAGCGGACGTATTACAAATACTTTCGCGTTTCGTCTGGTGAGTGAGGTAGCCGAAGGCCAATTTTCAAAAGGTTGTCAACGCATCTGTAACCCTTGGGTGTAGCAGGTGTCGATGGGCGGCGGTATTCACTTAACATCAGGTGTACCGTCTGCTCGCTTGGCAACTTTTCACATAAAAAAAAACTTCCGATTTTCCTTAATGTTACAATGAACGTAAAACGTCTTTATGACACAAGAAGGGAAGGGCATTTACTACGACAAAATTATAATAATAAATATTAATCTAGATGTATGCGCATATAGAACAGAAGAATCCATCATCCTTTGTATTAAAGCAAACATACTTTTAAGTAAATCACAGGCTATAAATGTATTTTTTAAAAATTCTCAATATCTCTCCATCCTTAAATGGATATCGGCTTTGCATTTAGCAGTGCTATCGTGGGTTTCGATGGGGCTTGAACGAAGAACATAAGAATTTACGACGTCTTTATTTCACTTGACACCGTGCCGTCGCATTTCGGGAATCACGTAACGCATACAACAGGTGTGCGTACGGTGAAAGTGATTTATGCCGAGAATCACTAGTGCCCGTTAAAGTTACCCACTTTTGGATGGTTGAGCTCGGCCTAAGTGGAAGGAAATTCCGCGGTTCAACGTTATAATTTGCTTTACCGTTCGATAGACTGTCGTGTTTTTTAAAGATGTTATGAGTACATAACTTTGTGGTAACGTGCTTTAATGTTCATTTGTAATAAAAGTAATGACGTTCATACGTAAGCTCTTTGATTATAATTTGTATTTTAATCGTTTTTTCTCAAGCAAAAATTAATAAGTCATTGTGTAAGTATTGTAATTTTTTTAATATATTTATTTGAAAAGTCGTCAAACGTCAACCGCCTACACGGTTCATCAGATATCGGTATGATGACTTTAAAAGAATTTAAAGTTAGAAAAGCTAGACTTAACTTTTAAACCTAGAAAAGATCGGGCCTCGGCTACCACAGTAACAACCTATTAATTATAGAAATTGATAAAACGTAAATTATATAAAAAATAACATTAAGACGTAACTTTATTGGAATTTGTTTCAAACGAACACATAATTTCTCCTATTTGAGAATATTAAAAATAAGGTTATTTTAAAATTAAGAATTTTTTTAAATTAAGAACAGTAAGATGGCCGGGTGCCACTTTTTCACGTTTAACGAATTATTTCACAACGACCCTCTTATAGTTCGCCAGCTAAGCGGACATTACGCAACGTGTAACAAAATGGCGAACGCTCGCGGATCTTTGGAATCAAATTAGCGCGTATACTTGAGGAGATGCATTGGCCGAGTACTTTCGCAACGTTGCATCGGCCGTTGCGGCACAATTATGAAACTGCCAAAATGTAAAAGTATATAATACTAGCGGACCCGACAGACACTTGTCATAAGTTCGACGACAAGTTATTAGTAAAAAATTAATTTAGGAAGTCATTTTTTTAGTGCAACTAACTGTGACCTAACCTTTCTCCACTTGAATTTCCACGAATGTAAACCATTCTCGAATCCACTTGAACATATACAAAAAAAAAAACATCTAAATCGGTCCGGTTCTTTAAGGGTTCAGTCACAGAAGAACTATATTTATAAAGATGTACGGACTCGAATAAGATAGAAGACCTATCCTGCAATCTTCACTTTATTGCACTAACTTTGTTTGTGTTAGTTATTTGGAATAAATAAATTAAAAATCATACTTTTTTAGAGCCGTGATAGCTCAGTGTCCGGGCGCTCGCCTTTAATTCAATATACTCGAGCAACCTGAGTTCGATCCCCGGTGCCGGCACCAATGAAGTTTTTAACTTTAAGTGCTGACTTATCACGTGCTCCGCGGTGAAGGAAAACATCGTGAGGAAACCTGCATATTTTAGAAATAATAACAAAAAAAATATATTTCGAAAATATGTGAAGTCCGCCAATCCGCAGTGGGGCTGCGTGGTGGACTATGCCCTGATACCCTCTGTATAGAGGAGGCCTTTGCTCAGCAGTGGGACATGTATAGGCTGTTACTTTACTTTACTTTTTACTTTTTTAAATGACTATAAATACGATAATGTTCTCAATTCGGTTGTATTTTTTGTTCGTTACCACAGAACTCGCAGAACTCCCATTTATGAACCGATTATAACTTTTTTTATATATATTGGAATCGGTCCCCTGTTATTTCCATTAGTATTAGACCTCGGACCCTAGAAAATTTACATAAAACGAGTCTATTCTGTTGTTTGTTAAAAAAATACCTAAGCACTAGTAGAAATTGTATGTTAATATAAATATTTGTAATTTTTACCTAAACGCTGAAAATATACACAACGAGACATTTGAAGTGTGTTCCAAGCCATTGTTAAGAGCCAGTGTTTAGATGAAATGCATTATTCAATGTATTCTCTTTTCTTCGGAACCTATCGTATATTTGCATTAAAAAGAACAAGGGAAATTATTAGAAGGTGAAATGAAAAAAAAAAAACAAAGAATTACAATAGCAATTAACTCGCAATTTTCTCATGATCACGTTTTTCAACTCTACGCACGGAAAGTAATTAAAATTTCACTCCATTATCTAATCGCTGTTATCAAACAGCGTGGGAATTCTCTTATGCACTGTTCTTCAAAGATTATTTTCAAACGATAAATTGGCGTGTGATATTATTAATGAATAATTAAAATTACAATACCACTAAGAACTTAGGTTATTATAATTTCTATGTCCCTGATATATAATTTTGTTGCCAATTAGTTTCACATGCAGATTTATAGTATCTGTGGCTGCACGAATGGGAAGGATCCACCGGGGAAGTACCGCGGCCACATTGTGGCCTTCCCCGTGTCACAGAAGAACGGATTGAATTAAAAGTAATATACGTTTAGTTTCGGCGACTAAGGCAAGCAGGACCGCTGTTTTTAAGGTGAGTCTTAATCAACCCTTCAGGTGTTGTAAACGTTTCTTTCTATGTGTGAGAAGGTAGGTCGCGTTTCAAAGCGTTCGATTCACACACGGGACAACTATTTGTGTGACCCACAAATGATTGTTTCGCATCTGGGTGTTTGTCCACGTGAAATTTATGTTAGTAAAACGTTCTAACAACACAGGATAATATTGTCGTAAGGTAAGAGAAATGTTTTAAAAAACAAAACAAGAAAAAAAAGGTATTATGCGGATGCCGCCCATGGACGTTTGCAACACCCGTAGAGTTGCAGATCCGTTGCCACCTTTAGCAAAATGGGCCCTGGTTCACCAGAAGAAACGCATAAGTATAGCAGCTGGTCTTCTGTCAGGTCTACCCCAGACGGACCTGCCCACTCGTGCAACAGCGAAGACTGTTCTGTGGCCCTTCCACGGTTAGATTAACATGTCCGGGCGGCAATCACTTAACATCAGGTGAACCGCCTGCCCTGTTGCCTGCTTTTCGCGTAAAAAACAGAAAACTGACGTTTCTTGACACAAACTACATAACAGCGTTCCCGCCACGAAATATCAGAAGAAGAGCGAAAATATAACGCACACCACCCATTGTTCTAAACACGCAAAAAATGCTCAAAGGTGAAATTTTTTCATCGGAATCGGACGTGTAAACCGGAATCTAATCGAAAGACAACAGATTCTTGTAGAACGTTGTTTTTATGTGATTGACCGCTTTTGATTTTTCCTTTTTTATCGACTTGGCCAACGAATGAATCTTATAAATGAAACTATTTTTACGGATTTATCGCGTTTATTTTTCAAACGACTTCAAAAAAGGACGTGGTTCTCAATTCGACTGTACTTTGTTTGTGTGTTTGTTATCTCATAACTTTCTACTGGGTGAATTGATTTTAATGATTATTCTTTTATTTGTAAGCTGGTGCTTCCATGTGGTCCCATATTAATTTGATTAGTATTGGATCTTGGGCACCGGGGATACTTGGGAACTCGTGAAAATCAATTATAAATGAATACAGATCGATTTAAGGACGGTTTTGTTTTTCGTTAGTAAAATAATTATAATTTTTATGATCATGGTCACGGGACAAAATAAATAAATCGCCGGTATCCATATCCATATCGCTATAAAATGATATAATTAGAAAGAAGAAAATGTTGTTCTCGTACTAATGCTTAGCATAATATAAAAATGTAGTAGCACCTAATAATTATGTGTTGCTGATTACTTTTTTGTTTCCCAATTAGTGTTATATACATCATCATAAAGAGAGGCGTAGTTCCATTAGAAAAACAAAACGTTGATACTGTTTTGTTTTTCTAATGGACATCACAACATGAGTCAAGACATTTAAGATGATGTGAATTAGAAAGGTTAACGGCCAATTAAAAAGTTGCGGAGTCACACGCATTTATCTTGGTCATTTCCGTCTGTCCATGGTATTTCCTCATAAGGTCGAGAACTAAATAACGGCATTATGTCGAAAATCTTCCGGCCTAATCGGTGACACAGATTAGTAAAGATCTAAATGAAACAAGTTCTTATATAAAGTCATTATGTATTACAAGCAGAGATTAACTTAGTAATAACACTAATGGTTACTAACGTTTCATCATTATTAACCTGCATGTTTGTAGAGAGTTAGATTTCGTGTCGAAAATGAAGTGTTTAGACGAAACAGAATATGAGGAATTGTAAGTTTTAAAATATATGCTTAATTGTTATAAATGTGTCAGTTCACCATTTAATTTGTGCTTATTAGCTCTTGTCTCACTCGATATTATTATTATGAAGAAAATGAATAGCAATTGGTGCGAGCAGTACGTCTCTGAAAATTCTTTGGATGTTGCACTATCGTAGCCAACCTAAAATGGCTGGACTCTAGCTACCTCACATACGAACATGGAGCAAAATTAGAAATTTTCTATTTTGCGTTTCTTATTTGACACTGCAGTGCTTCAAGCTTCAAGTTCAGAGTTACGCGATGCAGAAGCGCATAAGTTGGGC